TATATCACGGCAGAAAAAATTTTTTTTGACCAACTCAGCCTTGGAGAGTTTATCTTTTTATTGAAAGGTTTTCTGAAGTGGCAAATCTTATACATATGGACAAAGTTGTCCACATACCCCACAGCTTCTGGAACCTGCAAACCCAAACCTTCTCCCACGTGTCTTTGGCCTTCATCTCTGACTTTCAGAAGAGAAACTGAAAACATAGACATTAAGAATCAGAAAGGATTAGGTTGGCTTCAATAAGTGACAGTTTTCATATTCAGATGCAAGAAACTCACCTTTCTCCTTGAACAGACCAAGTAGTAAGGGCTGGAGAACTTACATATAATTTACCTGTTTTTCCCATGCAACGTTAAGTTCTAGTATTCCAAAAGACAATAGATTCCAGAAGATTTCCAATCTAATAATATTTTGTTTGTCCCTTCAGTTTATTATTATGTGATACTATAAAATCTGTTCTCATGTAACAACTTAGAGCCATTAGGAAATCAACCTAGGAAATGAACTCCATGAACAAACTCTTCTATTAATAAACGAATTTGTTGCTGCAGAATGTAAACAGAATAAAACAATATATCTCAACCTATCTGCATCATCACACTGAAGGGAAGGTGTTGAAACTGTAGATCATCTCATTCATGTGTGACTATCAATAGCCACCTTAATGGAATAATTTTATCTTGCTCAAGGCCAAGTGGAGACTCAGCTGAACCAACTGGCCTGTTTTACTGAGAAGTCCACAGGCACCTCACCTTCCATTCTTCAAAGGGCTTCTCTTGTCACAACCTCTCTCCATTATGATCAAAAACACTCTAAACCAAGCTCTGGTGGCTTAGGCTTGTAATACTAGCTATTCAGGATGATGAGATCTGAGGATCATAATTCAAAGCCAGCACAGGCAGGAAAATCTATGAGGTTCTTATCTCCAATTACTCACCAGAAAACTGTAAGTAGAGCTGTGGCTCAAAGTGGTAGAGCGCTAACCTTAAGCTAAAATCTCAAGGACAGCATCCAGGCCCTGAGATCAAGCCCTATGACTAACAAAAACAAGACTGACAAACAAAACCCCCACAAAACACTCTAATAGTACCTGAGAGTGACCAAGTTATTTCAAACTTCTCTACAGATATAGTTATTTATTACATCTAATAACTAGTTAAAATTAGTTATTTCAATGCTAAACTTTACCTTAGTAGAAGTATTGTTTTCTCAATTATAACACCATTTTATACAATATCTCCAGTGCCTCTAGGTTTTAGATTAGCAAAGGATATACTATAGAAATCTGCTCCTGTGCTTAACAAAGCTTATAACTTATTCAGAATCTGAAAAAGAAATGTAGATTTTTTTATGTGATTACTAATGCTTATGTTACTTGAATCAATTGTAACAGGAAGCTCATGGGAATTAATGATGAAAGAAAATAGTCTATTAATTGCTATAGATTTTTGAAATTGTTCTGACACATTTATTTTTCATGTCCCACATTTATATTCTAAATTGTTGAATATACTGTATTATGTTAAAAATTTAATTGTACATAAAGATGTGAAATTTTGTCTTATATGTTGATAAGTCCTTAAAAGGGAATAAAACAAATGAATAATTGCATAAATGTATAAATAATCATCTCTGGAAGAAGGTAAACATCTGATGCATAAGAATAAAAAAATAAGTTATGAGCTACTTTAGCACTGATATTTTATATGATATTTTAAATGTAAAGCAGGGAATAATGAAGTTATAGATATTCCATAGTACAATGAAAGATTGCATAGATGTGATGAACCATACCTACTTGATTTCCTTAGCAATTGTGGAACTTACATAAAACATATATTTAATTTGAATGAAATTTCAAATAATTTTAAAGGTAAAATATCTATCAATAGCATCTTCTAACAGAAAAGCAATATGGTCCTAGATTTACTAACACTATGTTAATTTAAAAAGGACTTTTGGAAAATTAGTTATGTGTTATTAGTTTATTCTAAAATTAAAAGGGTAATATATAATTACAAGTTATTCCAAACTCAAATGACAGAGTGTATCCAAGATGTTTTAAAAAAGGACTTATTAATTCAGTACAGAAGTTAACTGAGTAGAACATTCAAAGTGAGTTGCTCCCATAATTTAGTCAGCTTCGAAAATAACCATATGAAAAATACCCTTTAGCCCATTATTGTCTTTGATAAGGTATTTAATATGTATAATATTAACATTTATGAACATTATGTAATGGGTACAAGTAGAATGAATTTAACACTATCTTGAAGTTTATATAATTCTTTATGCTTTGAAAAATAATTAAAAACACAAGTATACATGCTTAAACAATATTTCATTCAATTATTTGTATGCTTGTAAGCTTTATAAAAATGATCTGTTACTGCACTTTTTCTTCAAGGAGTTTTAATTGTATTCTCATGTTCCTGTGCACACTGTACATAAGTGTCTTTATTCTACCGCAAAAATGTACCATGTTTCACATACTAATGGGAATTCAAACTGTTCCTAAATTTTGGACATATTTTTAATAAAATATACAACATTTATGGACATATTTTGATTAGACATAGAATTATAGTAGAGTACATTCAAATAATTGCATGTATTTCTTCAATAACAAAAAGCTTACATCTTGAATTCATTGACATTTTAAACTAAAAGATCTTCAGCATTGTTTTAATGATTGCCAACCTAGTATAGCATCAGACTGAAATGCTACTTTTGTAACTCATTTATGGATTTACTACCTACTTTCTCTGAATATAGTATTTTTAAGTGTATTAGTCTGCATTTTCAATTCCATTGATCTTGCACACACATCGCACTGAATTTAATTAGGAAATTAGACATGATCCTTCAAGATAACAAGCAGCTATAGACAGAGAGGAGCTACTTCAATTCATGAATCAATAAACCCAAATAGTTCTAATTTTCAGAGTGTTATATTATATGTAGATAACACTACAATTACCTATCTACTGGTAATGGAAATAGTAAATATGGGTTAATAAGTGAAAATAAAGAAATTCTTACACATTTTTGGTTAATCCATTTGTAGTCACCATAAATTGTCACAGCTCACAGTATTTAATTCACTTAAAACTTGAAAGTAACAGTGAACATGAATTTTAAGGTAATACCCAATTGACAAGGGGTAAAGCATAAAATAAGTCCATTTAAATGCATGAAAATAGTAATATTATTTTTAAAAGAAAATAATAATATTATTGAGCAGAGAAACTAATATAAACAGTAAGCCCAAAAGCCAATTTTGTAGAACACTTAATACAATAGACAGAAAAACCTTAATGTAAATAAATCAATAAATTCAAAATCTATTACCTAAAAAATTCCAATGAAATAGGTAAAACTGGGAAATGTGAAAAAAGAAGGTAAAGGTGACAGAAAGGAAGATTTTAAGTATTAAATAAGAAAAATAAGAAAAAATAAGAAATAGTGTCTATTGATAAAATTGTTTTAAATTTTAAATATATATGTAATTAATAATGTAATTTGAGCTAGTGCAATAGAGACTGTCATACAGAAGATGAAAGTTACGATATTAATACATGACCCTTGCTTCTGATATTAAGGAAATAGCCGTGACACTTTACCCAAATGAGGAACTTTATGACTGTATTCCTCAAGGTTAACAAAATCCTCTTCAATTAGTAACATGCTAAGTAAGAATGATGATTAACTTTTAATCATTCCTTGTTTTCGTCTTTTGGTATCATATATGATCTTTGTTTTTAATTAGTTAAGGTGATAGACTTTAACTATTGCTTTGCTAATGTAAAAACCAACTCCACATTCTTAGAATCAGTTCTGTGATTTTAAGAAGTCATCTTTAAATACGTAGCAAAATTAAGTTTTCTGATATCTATTTGCATTTTTGCATAAATTTATAGGGAGGTTATTCAATCTTTATCATTTCTTTTTCTGCCCAATATAAATTATAGCTAACTTTATACAATATATGACTAGCTTTATGCAGTACATTAAAGTGTAGCTGTTCTTTTTTTGTTACAAAAAAGCTTTTTTAATTGTAAAAATTCCATACAGAGAGGTTACAATTACATGAGCAAGATAATGAGTGAATTTCTTATCAAGCATTGTTGCCTCCTCCTTTGTTTCCCCTTCCCTTCTTATCCCTTCTCCGCCCCGCCCCCCCAAGTTGTAAAGTGTGTTTTTCCACATAACATCTTGTACATTTCATTGTTGCAATTGGTCCACCTGTATCCCTATTTAAACAATTTGTTTTTTTCCCTTCTCCTCCACAAATTATACCAACATCAAATACATTAAAAACAGGGTTATACTGTGGGGGAGGGACATACAAAGCAACAAAGAAATCATCTTATAAATATGTTAGAAACAATCGCAAGAAAGAAAAGAAATTGAACCCTTATCTTGGGGTTCATTTCACCTAACATCAACTTACCTTACCGTTTCTTCTTGTTTCAGACATATACTAGTTATTGCAAATAAGGGAAACCATGAGACCTATGTTTCTTTGGGCCTGGCTTACTTCATTTAATATAAATTTTTTCCGTCTTTCCATTACCTAACAAATAGGGCAATGTCATTCTTTCTGATGGAGGCATAGAATTCCATTGTGTATATATACCACATTTTCTTGATCCATTCATTTACTGAGGGGCATCTGGGTTGGTCCCATATCTCAGCTATAGTAAATAATGCTGCAATAAACATAGTTGTGCTGGTAGCTTTAATATGGTCTTGTTGGTGATAATTTGGGTAAATGCCCAGAAGTGGGATTGCTGGATCATAGGGGAGCTCTATGTGGAGTCTTTTGAGGAACTTCCATACTGCTTTCCATAGTGGTTGAGCAAGTTTATACTCCCACCAACAATGTAGTAGGGTTCCCTTCTGTCCACATCCCCTCCAGCATCTGTTGTTATTAGAGTTCTTGATTATAGCCTTTCTAACTGGGGTGAGGTGGTACCTCAATGTTGTTTTGATTTAAATATATGGAACGTGTCAAGAATTTGCGTGTCACCCTTGTGCAGGCGCCATGCTAATCTTTACTGTATCATTCTAATTTTAGTATATGTGCTGCCGAAGCAAACACAAGCTCTTCTTTTTGTGCTTGTTAAAATTGTGTCTGAAGTAATCATTTCTTATTTATTGTTAAAACTAATTGTTAAAATCATTGGAACCTGGACAGTTTTTGAACATATTTGAAATTATACTTTACATATAGTTTACAATTGTTTCAGATTAGATTTCTCCTTGGAAAAATGCTGTTATATTTCTCCATGAATCCAACTGTATTTTCAACTTTTGAAACATATTAGTCTAATGCTATTCATAAGGCTTCATCTGCCCTGTCAGGTACTTAAATGTTTTACATTCAAAAGTGTAAGCAAATTCTAAAGTTGTGTTCAGAATTTCATAAACATTTCATAGACATATGTATTTGCCCATTAAAAGCATTTGGTTGTCTTACTTGAGTCTCCCTGATTATTTTGCCTCCTTTACAAGTAATAATAATTGGATTAGTATTCTCACTTGTCATATGCACTCTCCTTGGATGTAATTTATAGGGTCTAAAACAGGTTTGTGTGGAACACAATTCAGCTAAACTGTAAATGTCCAGAAACACTGTTTCTGTTAATCATAGCATTAAATATTAAGAAATGACAATGAGTTTGTTATTACTCTTCATAAGAGATATTATATAGAGGATATGTCTATAGTGTTCAAATTGTAGAGAAATATATCTTCAATATTAGCAAAAATGAAAAGAAATAAGGAAACCTCTTTGGTGAATCAATTATATCTTAAATACTATTCATTTCTTCTACAAAATGTTTTTTTAAATACTCACTTAGATTTTTTGTACTTCTTTGTTATTTGTCACATTATTCCCTTTCTATTTTTAACATTGCTTCTTTTTAGTTTCTTCCCTATTTTGGTCAAATTAGAGTGGGGCTTAGAGTCTTATCTTTGTGTTTCTTTGACTTCTTAGATAGCTTTTAAGATCTCCATTTCCTTGAATTCTGACTTCACAAAAACAAAACAAAACCCAAAAACAAAGAATAACACCAGGTATCTGTTTAGGTGCTGAGGAAGGTTTTTGGGGTGAAGGAGATTGTTGAGGAAGATTTTTGGATGTGGTTGAGTAAGGTGGATATAAATGGGGAAGGGCCATGGGGAAAAATGAAACTATGATTGCAAAGAATGCTAAGGCAAGAAAATGGTTTTTAGATCAGATCAGATAATTTCAATTCAAAAGAAGAGAGATGCAAATATCAAAATTAAATAGAATTAAAGAGGGGTTCTATGTTAGAATGTAGAAGTTAAAATGTAACATTTATCTAATTTAGCAGAAGAAAAACAATTCAGTTAAAGAAATGCAATACTCAAAACTCTTGACCAGACACAGAGACAAAGGCAAGCAAAATTATTTTTATATAAAAACACTGTGATTTGTTTATTGTTCTTGTATGCCTCTGTATAAGAATTTTTGCAGGTTACAAAAATCTGCTTTAGGTGTGAGTATGAGGTCTTTGCTTCCATCATAAGACTTTACATGGGGAGTTCTTTCAGAATTCAAGCTGGTGGCATATATCAGATGTTTTATTGTTTTGCCCTGCTGGGAGCCCCAAGCCTGCTTACCTGCCAGATTTGGTGCTTCTTTTCAGTGGTAGGCTTTGCCAGACCTATTGTGTTCCTCTGCTGCCTAAGAGCAGGTTGTACACATAGCCTGGCATTAGGGGGTTACTTCAGCCCTTCCCACTGTAAGATGCACAACCTTCACCCCACTCTGGCTCAGCTGATATTCCTAAACCATCATCTCCAGGTATTATGACCACCTCGCAAATCCATGAGCTCGAGACAATATTTGTGGCTTGTGTTTTCTCCCACTTGGCTGAATCTGGCAATTCCTTGGTGTGGTGCAGAATTTTACCTGGTATCTTTGGTCTTCTTTCTCCTCGCCTTCCATGTGAGCCAGGTGCTAGTTGCAAACTTCTTGTTGCTATGTTCTTTTCCCTGTCTGCTTCTCTTTGATTTTCCAGGTTCCCATTAACTCCCTATGGTTTCTACTTTCTTCCACTTTTTCCTTCCTCAGAATCAGCTCACTTTTGTGTTTCTGAACTTTTCTAGCTCCCAGAGTAAAAATGAACACTTTTAGACCACCATCTTGTGCAGCTTCCCTTTGCTTCTTTTAATACTTTTCAGGTTATCCTTCTATCTTCAATCTCAGTTCTTCCTTCCTCTTAATGCTTTCTTTTGGACAGTTTAGTTCTATGTTGCCTTTGCATTGGTGAGTATATTCCTGTAGCAGCAGCAACGCATTTGGCCCATCATGCATGCCAATTTTTGCTGTGTGTTTTACCACAGCTAGAATTGAGATTCAACTTTCCATCAGAAATAATCATTTATCAATTAAAATATATTGACATAATATATTTTTCAATGTAATATTTATGACAATATCATTTTCTATCACAATATCATTTTCTATCATAGTTCCTATCACTTTCTCCTTTGTATTCAAGTGTATCTTGAAATGTATTCCTTTCTCTTGCATTTAATTTTCTTCTTACTGAAACTCTTATTTCATGATACTCTACATGCTAGCCATTACTTGTATCTAATAATGTTTATATAGTGTCTCATTCTTTGTTTTGTTTGTATCTTTTTTAAAAAAACAATAGCTTAGTCATCAGATTATAAGTTGACATGTATCATCTTTTAATGGTAAAGATATTGGGCTGGGAAGGTGGCTCGGTGGTAGAGTGCTTGCTTGATTCCTCGGCACCACATAAACAGAAAAAGCTGGAAGTGGCACTGTGGCTCTAGTGGTAGAGCACTAGCCTTGAGCTGAAGAGCTGAGGAACAGTGCCCAGGCCCAGAGTTCTGGCCCCAGGAACCACAAAAAAAAAAAAGAAAAAAAAAGGAAATGAAAAGATTTCATCAATTTTTTGATGAAAAAGATTTTCATCAAAAAAGAAAATTGATTTCATCAATTGTCAATATTGAATAGATGGCACTCACTTTCTCTGTGCTTGAATTTTTAAATAAGTTTTTTAGTTATGTTTTGCACAAAGTAAAATGAATTATTTTTGAGTAATGATGATGAATTTTGATGAACATATACAGTCACACAAGCATGTCCCAATAAAAGTAGATGCCTATTCTCCCCAAAATTTTCTTCATACTCATGTTAGAAATTCTTTGTATGTATACTTTGTACCTATAGTTTCTATAAACTTTAGAAATGTTTCTATAGTTTCTCATTCCAATGTGTCTTATTAACAGCATAAAGCTATCACAATTCATTCATTGCAAGCATCAATTCATTTTATGTGTATATATGTGTGTATATATAGTATTTCATTATAAGTCTATGTTGTATTTTTGTCTTAGTTTCTTATTGCAAACTGTGAAGTGTTCACTTACTGATCTTTTGCTTATTTTCTGTATCTTTTCAGACGTTGTAAAGCTCTTTTTTCATCAGATGCCTACTTCAATACCTGAAATAACAAATGAATCTGTGTATATTAAATAAATATACTACCTGAAGTTATTTAAAAATGTGTAACTTATATGTAGAAATATGTGTGTTATGCTTATAATAAATATTATATATCAGTAATACTAAATTTAATAAATTCTGAGTAGTATTTTTAGTAACAAGAACATTAATATTTAAATGATTTCATATGACTGGTCTAAAATTCACACTAATTTTGTAAAGTCAACATTACTTGTACTACAGTTATCAATTTGAAGAAGACATTTGTCTTCTTCATTGTCAATTGGGGTATTATAATTTCATTGATGGATTGACAGGAAATGCCTCCAATCGTCAGTCATCTTCTTACTGTAAGCTTAGGAACAGCAATAGTAGGTGTGCTTCTGACAGTAGATATCATTTCTAGAAGAAGTCTACATTTTCATTAATTTAATATGGAGTTATTAAAATTTTTCAACTCATATGCAGATTGTTGTATGTACTTTTATCCCTTGAACCACACATTAAAATATTCTTACTATAAATGATTTGTATAAGCTAGAATTATGTAGAGAGACTTTCCTTTATATATCCATTCTCTATTCCCATTAACTTAAACGTATTTAGTAACAACATGGATGAAATAATTGAATTTCAACATGTGCTCATTATAATTCATTTATTTTTATTGGTCCTGGGGCCTGAACTCTGGGCCTGGGCACTGTCTCTCAGCTTTTCAGCTCAAGGTTACCACTTGAGCCATAGCACCACTTCTGGCTTTTTCTGCTTATGTGGTGCTGAGGAATTGAACCCAGGGACTAATGCATACAAGGCAAGCACTCTACCACTGAGCCACGTTTATAATTTTTAAAAATTATTTATTGATTGTAAAGGTGCCACAGAGGGACTACAGTTGCAAAGAGTTCATTTCTTTTTTTGTTTTCTTTTTTTCTTTTGGATCCCGTCGTGGGGCCTGAACTTTGGGCCTGGGTGCTGTCCCTCAGCTCTTCAGCTCAAGGCTAGCGCTCTACCACTTGAGCCACAGCGCCACTTCCGGCTTTTTTTCTTTTTTCTTATGTGGTGCTGAAGAATTGAACCCAGGGCCTCATGCATGCAAGGCAAGCGCTCTGCCACTGAGCCACCTTCCCAGCCCGAGTTCATTTCTTTTTGAACAATGTCACTCCTCCTTGATCTTTCCCAATTTTTTCCTCCCATCTCCACCCGTGAGTTTTATAGTTCATTTTTGCCTTGTTGTCTAGTGAATATCACTGCTGCATTTGTTCACCCTTTGTCCCACCATTTCTTTGTCTTCTCTTACTCTCCCAAAGTCAGGTAAATGAACAAATGAGACAAAAGAAAATGAAAACAAGAACAGCAACAAAGAAGAAAAAAACATACCTCTTGTTTCCATTTCCTTGGGTTCATTTTGGTAAATATTAATTTACATGGTCAGAAACACATAGCTATTGCTTCAATGAGATCCTCTCCTACTAATAATCCTCCTTTGGTCTCATTGTATGCATTCATAGAGACCTGTAATTTTTATTTATCATGTCTGGGTGTATTTATTTTCTTCTAGCATCCAGGTATGTTTACCTGTAGATTTA